GCTCTAAAGAAGAAATAAATTATTATATGTAAAGCAACCGGCACATCAAGGGCTAATACCTGTTTGCTATTACTACAATTTTTTTCTATTTTATTTGACATCACCAAATATACCTGCCAGATGCTATTTTCATTAAATAATTGCACATTTCATCTCTGAAAGAAGACCTTCAGAGAGAATCATTCTTTTTTTACAACGTCCACACAGCAAGTTATATAATCAATGCATTAATAAGGGAAATAGGTATTGTGTGTTTAAGTATGTAAAATAGTTGAAAACTGTTTTTAAGCCATTCATAATTTTTCTTCACAGTGCTCTTTGAAAAAATTATACCAAAAATCTGCAAGAAGACAATTATCTGAAAGCATTTGTTTATACATTCAAGAAATATGAGAAAAAATAAAACTCAACTGTGAAAATCGGGGTAACAATTATTATCAATAACCCCATTATGTTTCAAAAACCAAGAGAAAACTAAAACATGAAATATCACAAATACTTCTACAGACTTCATGAATCAAATAGGAGCCAGCAAAATCCTATTAATGAGTTCATTTCCATGGATATTGGCCTGCAGCTCTGTCAACAGCTGAACGTTCACGAGGCCAGTTGGGTGCAGGTAAACAAGAACACTTTCCTTCAAGGAAAAAAAGCTATGACGACTAAAAAATATTTCATGAATTTTTTTCTGACCTGGGTTATATAAAAAAAAAAAAAAAGAAGAAGAAAAAGAAAAAGCTAATGTCTGTTCAGGCTTTATCTATGAATTTTGTTATATAATCACAAAGATGCAACAGATTTGCTTAACTACTAAAAAATGTCAACTATCCCCTGATATCAACAGTTTCTCGGTGTCAGAGGACTTCAAGGATTCTAGATCCTCAAGAAGCAGCCTTTTGGGATGTAAATGAAACTGTCCCTAGGCTGACTGCAGATAACTAACATGGATTAGGACAATTATCTGCAAGGCTTGGAAGTTGAAAATGCAAATAATATAACATAAAGCATGAAGTGAACAGTAAACTAAAGCTAGTCAGAACTAGGCCCAATGTTTGGAGGGTGTCTGGAAGCCCTAAGTGCCTCAGCAAGTAGACTTCAAGCAGCCGTGATAGTATTCAGGCAGATGAGAGCATATGGTGCTGTGTCACTGGGCTGAAAGTGACCCTGATAGATGCTGCCTGAGGGAGAGTGAGAAGAGGGGGTGTGAAGAGAAAGAGAGGCATCTAACAGGGAATAGCTGTTCTTGTCACGGCTTCCTTCAAGTGCAGTAGGATTTAGGTTCCAGCTCCAGACCTGATAAAGAACTGGAATAAAAATGAGAAATGAGGTAGAACCTAATTTCACAGTGTGGCTGTATGTACACTGTCGAGTCAGTTCATCGGCCTGAAGCTCAGTAGGGAAGTTGGTGTCCCTGCTCATCCTAGGATGCTCGATTCGGGGCAGCAAAACTAATTCTAGACCATGCTTCCCAGCGTGGACAGAAATCCTCTTTCTCTTCCAGCTTGGCCGGGACTGCCTCTGAGGCACTGGGCGGGGGCTGGGTACACGGAGCTCAGAGGACCGGGAAAATGTAAATGAGCTGCTTCCTCCAGTCAATCATAAAATTGTAAATTCTGATGAAAGAATAATGGTAGGAACTGGATTTCAAATTTTCACATTCTACGTTGTATCCGAAATCTATTGCTAGTGGGTGTCCCATTGGGAAACTAATGCATGTCCTGAAGTATCTGTATAATTTCATCTGTACAAGCACATGAGGAACAATATCCTCATAGTATAAAACAGTCATTGTGACAGTCAGTGAGATAATGAGAGCGTCATGGTACACCTACGAGACTGTCACTTTATGCCAGGCTCTGTTGTAGCCACTAGGCATATAATGATAAAGAGGCCCATTCCTAGCCCTCAGGGAGCACGCATTCAAGAGACTAGACATGCAAAGATAAACCGCTAAATGCAATTTCAAGTTCAATTTCAGGTGGTGGTGAGTACTATGAAAAACAATAAAACGGGCTAATGGGAAAAACTGAGGACATGATCGCTGGGGAAGGACTCTCTGAAGAGGTATCGCTTGAGGAGAGACCTTGGAGAGCTGACAGAGTGAGGCATGGAAATATCTGCAAAGGGACAGTAGGCAAAGGCAACGCAGATGCAGATGAAGTAGGGGTGTGTGGCCCCAAAGGAAGGGCACCGTCAGTGAGGTGGTGTAAGAGAGGAGGAAAAGAGTAGGAGAAACAGCTGACAGACAAGTGCATTTCAAAGAGGGCGGGGGCGGGTGGGCGCCAAGGTGAGAACTTGGTATTTTATTCTCAGTGTGTTGGGATGCCACTGAAGGGTTGTAAGCCGAGGAGCAGGTCTAAAGCTCACTCCAGCTATTGTGTGGAGTATGGACTATGGAGAAGACCAACTGGGTTTTTATGGAAATAAGCCAGGTGAGAGATGATGGTGCTGTGGACCAAGGTGGTGCGAAGTGGTTAGAATCTGTATATGCTTTGAAATAACTGCTGGCAGGATTTGCGGATGGACTGGATGTAGATTGTGAAAGAATGAGAGAAAGCAACGTTGCCTCCTAACGTTTTGGCTTGAGCAACTAAGTGAACACTGGTGCTAATTACTGGTTTGGGAAAGACCAGGTAGAACAGGGTTGGAGGAGAAATATAGAGAGTGCTTATGTTGTCAAGGTAAATCCATAAGTGACAGGGCAAATTCAGTCCAACACGGGTAGAGGGTGGGAAGGAACAGCTAACGCCTACCGTTAGGCAACACAGGTTCATAAGCTATTAAATCAAAACGTATATTTTAAATCCACATTTTATAAAGCATGATTTTTCTAAAGTAAACACGAGGCTAAAGGGGCAAGACACAAAAGAGGGGAGGACATTAAAAGAGCACTGAAGGTGCGCGTTGTGTGGTCCGTTCACCACTCACTGCCTCGTGTTACGTTCATGATCTTGACACGCCCTCTTGCAGGGCTCGCCATTCGTCCACTGCGTCCCACTCTGCCTGTGTTCTCACTGTGCCTCTGCCTGGGAGGCCCTTCCTCCACTCCAAATTTAGTCAACTTCCACGCTTCCTGAACAGTCATTCATTGTCCTCTTCTCGAGGTAGGCTTCCATGACCTCTCCAGGCTGGGGTGGTTTTGCCCTTCTGGTTTCTAGAAGGCCCCATACACTTGCTCATGATTGCATCTCATGCACCATTGGGTTGTATTAAATGCACGCGCCCCATTCCCCAGCTAACCTGAAGCTTCTCGTAGGAATTCAACGTTTGATGAATGAATAATCAAGTCTGAGGGCAGGGTAAGATTAAGGAATCTGTGGACTTCTGTTCCCTCATCTGTAAAACAGGGACCAAAAATAAAAATAGCATTGCTTTATAGAGAAGAGGAGGGAGGAAAGGATGAGATCAGAGAAGATCAAAAAATAGCATCACCTTAGAGAGGAAGGGAGGGAGTAGAGGATGAGATCAGAGCGGTTGGGGGAGAAGATATTATCGTATAGGACCTTGTCGGCTATTATGAGGACTCTGACTTTTACTCATAGCGCGATGGGAAGGGTTTTGAGCTGAGAAGTGTTATGACTTGGCTATGTTTTAAAAGGATAAGTAGTAGAGCTTGTTGATAATAGAAAATGGGGTGCAAACTTAGAAGCAGGAAGATGAGTTATGGAGCTATAGCATTCTTCATTAGGTAAACTGAATTTTGTTAGTATCTATCCCCATAATGAGAAGTATTTCACACACAGAAAGAGATGCATAAACACACATACAATTTCCATTAATAAGCACTTATCCAAGGAATCCCCTTTTCTATTTCTCAGAATTATTTACAATGACAGGTAAGGGATAGCTGTATAGCTGTTTCTTCTGTTTTATGTTTCTCTTTTTCATTGAAACATTCCCTTCTGTTCTGCAGACTGAATTAGGGAAGCCACAAAATACATTACTAGCAAATAGTGTCAACAATTGCTATCTTATTATGTGCTACGTCATTAAATTAAGAATAAACGAGATGTGGCCACACACTTGATCGTTTTTTTTTATTCCATAGTAATGTAAATAAAGACCTCCTAGTGTCAGACGTTCATACTTGAGGGAATATGGATTTAGAAATGAGAAGCATATATTTTTATATAGGGATTGATAATGATTGAGAAAAACATTAAACATGATTTTAATCAATAAATTACTTGCATTAATACTAAGCTAAAAAACCTAAACTAAGTAGAATGTCTCATATAAATTGACACAGTCCTTTTCTCAGTGGCAGTGAATATAAACAATTTTGAAATTTCCACGGAGTCTAACAAGAATAGGCATAGCTGACTTGACACCCATTCATTAGTTAATGAAAGCACTATGAATGAATGGATGTGAAATAAGTACTCACTGCCAGATGGTCAGAAAAAGCAAGACAAACAACTCCAGAATAATTAAGGTTGCTATTCAAACTTCCTATTCCTATTACAGTCATAGCAAAAAAAAAAAAAAGTGTTCAGTTTTTCATCAGCTATAGAAATTATCTCCATTAATGCTTTAGTAATTCTGTAAACTTAGCTCCATTTCAGCAATGGAGAGACAGCCTAGAAGAAGTACAGGTAAGTATTCACTATTGTTGATAGGTTCTTGCGAATTTCAGGGAAACCACGTATAATGAAACCAATTTGACCACAGGCTAATTGATATAAAACAAGAGATAAGTTCCTATGACATATTTATGGTCACAAAAGCATCACCAAACTTCTAAATAAAGACCCAAAACACTTGTAATATTAAATAGTGAAATAAATGTGAGCTAGACGTACATTTAAGAAAGATTGATAAAAACAAGTAAGATAACTATTTTCCACCCCACTTTTTCCAGTTTAGGGTCACAGGTGGTCGGAGCTCGTCCAGGCAGCTCAGGGCACAAGGTGGGGACCCACCTGGATAGCACGCCCTTCCCTTGCAGGCCCACTCACCCCCACACCCACTCGGGCAACGGACACGCCCATTGACCTCACCTGCATATCCTTGGGGTGTGGGAGGAGCCTGGAGGACCCAGAGAAAACCCACGCAGTGGGGGGAAGGTGGAAACCCCACACAGACAGTGGCCTAGGCAGAAAAGGATTTGTTTTTTCTCATCAATATTATAATGAAACGACGTTGAACAAAGCAACATTATTGGATGACCTGCTGTTAACATCTCCAAGGTCAAACAGCCAGGAAATGAAGGAGCCTGGATTCAATCTCCCTTGGACTCAGCACTAGTGCCACAACTGCTGACTGACTGGGTTATTAGAACCCCCCCACGTCCCCACAGGTAAGTTCGGACAGTCAGGCCAGGAGACCTCATGTAGAGGGCAGAAATAAAACCCAATTACACTCAGTTTCTAAATTTGATTTCCAAATTTCCTATATTTTAGCAGAGAAATTAAATAAGTCTCTTCTGTGTAAGACTGCTTGACTTTAATTGTACTGACTTCTTTCCTAACTGAATAAACATCACAATTTGAGTAACCTTATATTTCTGTAACAGAATATTGCTTACAGAAGAAAATTCTGCAGAAACCCTTTCCTCTTATCGTAATTACAGCATGTGAGTTACAGAGACCACACGAAAGAGCACAATACAATTGAGTACCTACTTTCAGTTAACAAGTTCCAGCTGTTACCAGGGTGACTAAGGTCTTCCTAGTTACAGACTATTCACTCGTTTGACCTACCAACCAAAAGAGTCCCCATCTGAATATTTGCCATCGAGGAGTTTAGACACTTAAAGGGCAACCTTGTTTTCAACAGAAATTATTGTATTAAGAAACTACTATTTGGAGGAATATAGGGGCTTATGAGGCTTTAGGATATAGTTAGGATAAATCCCAAACCCTGAAACAAGTCTTTATAAATCTTTTAAGAACAATGAACTAATGAATTGAAAGTACCATAAACATATCCTTTGAAACCAGCTGATCAACTTAACAATAATAATTACACTAAGCACCATTCTCCAGAGAGCTAACTGTTCTCCATACAATGTTAAAATGTGAATTCCTTAACCAGCATATTTTGCCTAAACTATCACAGGTCTGAAGTTCCTGGTTCAAAAAGTTATCTAACTAGATTTCACCAGTTATCAAACTATAATATTTACTACTTTTCTCAAACTAATGGTTCAACAAACTCTGTTTTCAACCACGCAATTGGCATTATGATTTTAAATGCATTAGTGACATTTTCCAAATCTCTTAAAATGAGGAAGTAACACACACACTTTAATGGAATAGATTTGCATGATATAAAGACCTATCTAAGAATATTGTCTGAATTTCCTAAGTTCACATATCACAAACATATTACCAATAAGCTCACATATTACCAATAAGTTCGTATGTTACAAACCATACACTGAATGCTCCTACTGGGACAAAGAGCCATTGGGATAATCATATTAAGAAAATCAGTCTCTTCTCTATGCATCTTATGTGAATATGTTTAAAAGCTTTACACAGAATTTCTATTCAGTTCGGATGAAGTTACAAGACACCATTGCTTCCACTCTAACAAGCAGAACAAGCTAGATAAGCAACAAAATCATGATTTTTCAGAGAGCTAATGATGAAAAACCAAATCTAAATAAAATAAATTCCAGATAGTGGTGAGCCCTTCAAAAGTGAGGAAATACCAGGTATGCTGCTTGCATACCTTGAGGAGCCATGGAAGGAATATGAATTTGCTATAAATCAAAGTGCAGAGAAATTAGCTCAACTTTTAAGGAACTTTTAAAGACTGCATTTAAAATTAGAATCCCAAGAAGTTTCAGCCACAAGCTGAGTTCACATGCACCAGCCAACTGTCCCACAAGCCTTCACACCAAGTGCTACAGTGTGATGAAGGGTAGCTTGCTAAAGGTTCGAAGCCAAAGCAAGAAAGCTGAAAAAGATCCCCAGCGGGGCACACAGGGCTCTACTCAGTGCAAGGCATGGACCCACTGAAAGCTGAGGATTAAAGAGAAGAACTAGGATCAATCAACCTGCACTTCTCATGGGCTGCATGTTACAGCAGCTCTCTGAAAACATGCAGCTCTCTGAATGCTGGGCTCAGGGTAGCAAGATGTAAAGAGAGCTAGTAAGGTTCAAAAAGCCAGGTGTGTTACTGAGGCACTAAGAAAACACCCCAGGAATACAAAAAAACTCTTGGGAGAGCAGACAATTCGGCTGTAAAATGTAAAGCGATCTCCTGATCCTCACCAATGCTCCAATCCCAAACCCTGCAAAAAAAGTAAATCCTGTTCTCGTATTCAAAACATCTGAAGCCAGTGGTGAAAAAATGAGTGGAAAGTAAAACTTTTACAAATACCATTAATAAATGTTTAAAATAATATCACTGACAATAGCATCAAATAATCAGACAATTAGTAATCGTCTCAGGAAAGAAGTGAAGGATCTCTACATTGAAAATTACAAAACATTTCTAAGAGAGATAGAGAAGATCTGAATAAATGGAGATATACCATGTTCATGGATTGGAAGCCTCAATACTTGTAAGATATCAGTTCTCCCAACATTGATCTATAGGTTTATGTCACACTCAATCAAAATATCAGTAGGCCCTTTGGAGGAAATTGAAAAGATGTTTCTAAATTTTTATACAGAAATGCAAAAGACTTAGAATTGCCAAAACAATCTTGAGTGGGAGGGGCAGGGAAGAACAGTTATGAAAAAGTATATTCCCTGATTTCAAGATTTACTATAAAGCTAGAGTTATCAAGATAAGGCATCATGGACATAGGATAGACAAATAAATCTATGGAACAGAACAGAGAGTAGATAAATAACCTCAAACATAACGGTTAATTGATTTTTTTTACTAAGATACCAATTGGAATTAATGGAGAAAGAAATTTTATTAGTAGACATCACCAGGAGAACTGTACACCCATCTGGAAAAAAATGAAACAAACTTCACCGCCTACTTCATTCCTTACATAAAAATTAATCATAGTTTTATCATAGACCTAAATGTGTAAGACAGAAAACAGAACTTACAGAAAAAAATAGAAAAATATATCACCATCTTGGGATAAACAAATATTTTTAGGACAAAATAAGGTACTAATTATAAAAGAAAAAATGTAAAATAGCTTTTATCATGATTGAAAACTTTTGTCCCTATCAAAACACCATTAATTAAGGAAATGAATAGTCAAACCACAGACTGGGAAAACAAATATCTGTAATACACATATCTGATAAGGGACACTTATGTAGAATACGTATATTCTACATATCAATAATAAACGATATCAATAATAAAAAAAGAAAAACTATCCCATTTTTTTAAATCAGTAAAAACCTTAACACAAACTTCAGATTATTAATTATCAGGAAAATGCAAATTAAAATGAGAATAAAATACCACTAACTTAATACCATGTACAAAAATTATAAAGACTAGACAACACCAGTGTTGGCCAAGACATGACTCTGAACCCTCAGGCATTGCTTGTGAGAATGCAAAATGGTAGGTCCAGCCACTTGGAAAAACAGTTTCTTATAAACTTCAACATACACTTCCCAGATGACCCCACAATCCCACTACATGGAATTTGCCCAAGAAAAACAGAAACATATGTTAACCCAAAGATCACATTCTAATGCAGCTTTGTTTATAACAGATAAAAACTACAACCAGCCTAAATGTCTATCGCATAGTGAATGAATAAACAAATTATATTTTCACTATGTGCTGTAAATGTAAGACAGTATATCAATTTTCTTCACAAATATTAGCCATTAAGATATGTTTTAAGTTATAATAGATGAAGTAAATATTTACATATCAACTAATAAAATAATAATTTACTTATGTTGACAATTTGAAATTTTTCTATATACATACAGTTTTTTAAAAAAATAAAGGTTCAACATGATACTATATCTTGGATAATGAAAAACATAAAAGGACAAACTAATTTTGTGTATCTGTTATACAAAGATAACTATTTTCAAATTGCAGTATCACCTAATCAAGTACGTATAACTGATTTTATTTAGGACGGCAAATGATACTCTAAAAAATAATTATCTTCAAATAAGGAATTTATATCATATTCTGCTTTTGAAACATTAGTGAAAATAAAAATTTAAACCCAACAATAAAAGGGTTTATAAGAAAGTGTTTCCATTATAATAATGCTAAAGAATTTAATCATGAAAACCCATATAAATTTTATTGCATGGCTTTATAATAACTAAAATCTGTACTTTCATTATCCATAAAACATTTATTAGGTACCATTATGTATGGAGGGCAGTTGATATAAAGAGTGTGCCGAGTCATTGCAAATTAGTCTAAAAGAAAAAAAGAGGAAAAAACTGAAGGGGAGAGAGAAAAGAGGAAAGAAAAGGGAAAAAAGGAGAAAAGGAAACAGAATTCTTCCCCTCAAAGTGACTATGAGTATAATTTAGTTTTAGGATAGAATTATATACATACGAAAGTATATTAAAACTTTATTGAACTTCTTAGCATAGATTGTCTTGTAGGATCTAACTCCATCTCCTCTCCAGGCATATTTCTGGCTTTTAACATCTCCCTGAATATTACAACACCCGGCACATGGCACAAGCTCAATAAATATAGAGGCTGCCAAAAAAAATGTATACACATTTAAGAAAGGAAAAAAACTGTATTGAAATTATGCTGATGGTAACCACTTTGAGTTCCTCTTGTAATCGCAGAAGTCAAACGTGACTTGTATTCATCTCTTGTTAATCGTTATATATTATTACAATTTTTTTTAAATTGGGGAATTGGGGTAAGGGAACAGTGTTGGGGAATTGAGGAAGGGGACCAGCCAAGTTGTTGTTCTTCAATCTTAGTTGCAGAGAATGCCAGTCGCCATCTGGCTGCCCGTTGGCAGCTCGTAGCCTCTAAGCTCAGGTGCTGTGTTCAATCTTAGTTGCAGGTGGGCGTAGCCACCATCCCATGCGGGAATCGAACCAGCAGCCTTGTTGTTAAGAGCGCATGCTCTATCCACTGAGCCATC